AAATTCTATTTAAAATGAAGTTTTTTAAATAATAGAAGTGATAAAGTTACAACTATATTATATCTTACACGAAGGACGAAGCTTCATGGAAAGCTTTTATTATTTTTGAAAGATAACTGAAGTGATTCATAATTTAAACGCCAAATTTAAAGTTTGCTTTGTTTAGAGTTTTATTTGTATTCCTCGTTTGACTAAAATATCGATAGAAAATAAACAAGAAACAAGTGTGACTTAAACAAAAGTGTCAAACGTATCGTAACATTCAGTATTTTATGATATTTGTAGTCTTATACTATGATAAAATTGAAATATTTTCTTTTGGGTGTGTATGTGTATGAAATGAACTGCAGTAAATAAGAGAAAAGCAAAATAAGAGACATTCAGAAGTACTTCTTAGAAAAATCCACGTTTTGGAAAAAGTCTAAATTTCTGTGAAATCTGAAATTTTAAGATTTGAATCTATAAAGATTATTTTAATGTATTTTACTATTAAGATGCTCGACTTTTATGATGCTTAAAAGAACATATATTTTTAATATTAATGTTATAAAATCAGGAACAACTGCAACTTTATGCAATGAAAAATATTCTACATTTTTACATTTAATATTAGCAACAGCTTCAATCGTACCAATATAAATACTTTGAGAATTTAAATTATTTACATTGGCACCAAAGTATTTATTTATATTGGCAACAGAGCTTTCCCTACTGAGCAAATTTAGCATTCAGACACAATTCAATTGTCATCTTACATACCAACTGCTTGATTTTATTTCGTTTACGTCATGTATTTGAATTTAATAGATGGCTACGACTAGCTTATATAGGATCATGATGAAGTAACTCATCAGTCATGCCAATGCTAGCGAAATATTTTTGTATTGATATTATTGGTCCTGATAGTTAGCAATTTTCTGTATATCTATTTTGACAATACTCATGTTTAGCAAACTGGGGACACATTAAGCTTAATAATGTGTGTTCAGAGACATCATTCGTTTAGCTGAAAACATAAAAGTTACAGTCTTACTATTTTATTCAAATTAGTATTTTATCAAAATAGCAATAGAACAATTTATCCAACAAGCAATACAACTTCTCACATCAAAGAATTTTCAGTACATATCTTATATTTAAATGTTTTTTAGGCTGCATTTTTACCTAGAATCAAAATTTAAACACCATTTATTAGTAATGTGCAGCCTTTTCCTAGTTGCAATCATATGGCCCCAGTTTTGGAATTCATAACATGAAGAAAATCTTTTTTGAATTAGCGAATGAATATTTCTGGCAAAATATCTGATGTGGACACCACATAACGTCCTTGTACAGCCTATTAAATTATACGTATTTTTGCTGCTCTCCATTTAAACTTGTTTCCTCCAATTTAATTAGAGATACATTTCTCATTCGATCAATTCAATTCTCACTTTGCGGCAAGATACAAATGCGCAAAACATCTTCATTTAAACTATAAAATAGAAAAAACCTAAAACAAATACAGTTTAAGACAGTTTAAAAAAACAGTTCTTACAATTACAATTAGAGTCTGTAGGCAAGAACTAGCAATTCGGCCAAAGGAAAAGAAGACAAAGATTTCGGTGCACAAAATTAAAAGTTATCTTTTGCTTCGGCTGGGCCAAAAGATGCTAAAGTTGGTGCATCAACTGATCAACTGACTTAAACTGACTTAATTCACTATTCTTCTAAGACTTTCAAATGTAAATAAATGGCTGCCTCGTTAACGCCACTTTTATATATATATATATATATTCGTTTATACGTACGTTATATGTTTGGTGCGGCCAATTGCTTAAAAAAAAAAAAAAAAGGACTCCACAACTACATGTTATAGCAGTCCCACATAAAAAAAAATTAAACGTTCTATGGCTAATCTTTTCTGAGTGAGGTACATAACATACGTACTTACTACACTAAAACTAAACTCAGTGGCGTAACAGCCCTAATGGGCCAAGGCCTACAGTGCCCGAAATCTGCTTTCTTGACCGTGATCCCCGGGATGCGTAAACATATGCCCTGAACAAGTGGTCAGTTTGTCGCAGAACCTCCAATGTTTAGTCCCCAAGCGAACTTGGTACTCATTTTATCGACCCAAATGATGGAAATCTAGGGATGAAAGGCTGAGTCGACCCTGCCCAGCCCGGGCATCGAACCCCGGACCTGTGTTGCTGCTGCGCGATGCGCCAGCCACTGGGCCACCGTGCCTCACGTACTTACAGATGTCACAAAAAAATCCCTTCTGAATTCATTTTACAATCCGTTTTGGAAAAAACAGTCCTTTATTCTGTCTGTACATATAGATATCAAGCAAAAAAAGCGTCTAAATGGATCCGAGAGTGGTCAAAATGGATACTTTCGCTGAAATATGACACTCGAAATTTTTCACGATTAAAATACTTCCTTTACTTCGTGCAGGAAGTATTTAATTTAAAATCTTTACATCGAAAAATCCATTGATGATTCCATTGCCTGTTGCATTTTCATTGTGTATGAATGCACGGGTGCGTTGGAGCAGATAGTTACCTCGTCAAGGAAACTTTGATGTGAAAAAGCATAAACGTTCGGCGAGAAGAAGAATACATCAAAATGGATCATTTGGTAACCTACCCCACTTCAAATGTGAAAAGGTTACGATAGGTTAGATCATATAGTTTCAAGTAGGGCAGATTATGTAAAAATTTATTCCAGGCTGGACTTCTGAAGTCTGAAAGGTCACTCGAAATGATTTTGGCAGTTTCTACCTTCTGCTCCATTAAAATATGTAAGTAAGTTCCATTTATCCAGAAAATTGTACAATAAAGAGGCATTTTATGAAACTTGTTGAAAATGCTGCCCATGATTTGCTCAGCAAAGTGTTTCACTACGCATTTAGTGATAGATAGTTATGAGTGGCAGGTGTATTACCTCATTTGGAAGAACTGGCGTTCAAAATGGGAATGAGAAGGCATGGTTGCAACTATCCGTTCTTCTACGAAGGGACGGATAGTTGCAACCATGCCTTCTCAAGAACTCGAACCCGTGCGCTTCAGTATCGCAGTCTTCCCTAACCACTATACCATCTGGCTGGCAGACAAGGCAGTGTTTTTCAGTGAATATTCTGTAAACAAATTATTAGGAAACAATACAGTATATTTAAATACAAGTATCGTTTTATACATCTCACCAATATTGATGACAATGGTGTTAAACAATTTCATAAACTTGAATATTTAATTCATATTCAAATTATGCCATTTTAAATACGTGCTTTTTCTATTCTCGTATTTTTAAAAAGGGTCTATTAAAAGATTTCTTTATCTTTGCTAGCACTTCTCATGAGATATTTTCTTTAAGTGTATTAGCTTTCTCCATTTCATCAGTCGCATGAGGATTACTCTTGTATATTCTGTCCTTCAAAAACAATAACAGGTTATAATCATTCAGATTCAAATTGTTATATTTAGAGGCCATTCTGATAGAAAATTGTAATTGTAAGAACTGTTTTTTTTTTTTTTTTTTTTTTTTTTTTTTTGTAAGAACTGTCTAATTGTAATTGTAAGAACTGTTCATGTAAGTAATCCAAAATGAAAGTTTCAATGCTTGGTCTTCCTTCTATCGAGCCTTTCTTTGACAATGAACAACATTTTACTTACGAATAAGAGAAAGCTTCTATAACATGTTTACCTTCTATAACATGTAACATACTAAACCTTCCAAGTAAAGTGAAGGAAATTTTTAGTTGCATCTGCAATTCTGACAAAATCTCCTAAGCCCCCCCCCTTTTTGCCATCAATGTCATTCTTACAGTTGCGATGTGTGAAAGAATGTTTGGGTTGAAAATACAGCTCTGTGTTTTATAATGGCGTTGTAATTAACAAAATTATCGAAAACCGAATTATTTTGCCCAATGTATAAAAGCATTTGCAGATATTTTTAATCTGATTGATTACAAAAGATTTATACTGTTTTCGTATTAATCTTATTGTTACCGAAATTTTCTAAAATCCAATTAATTTAGCAAACATACAAAGTGTTTTCTAGATATTTTTTTCATAAGGCTTTCAAACTTTAATATTGTTTTTGGGTACAAATCTATAGCTCTTTGTTCTCAACCTAACGACTGAATCTACCGTTTGAAATCTGCAATACATATTCTGTTTAATGTTTTAATAAGAGAAAAGCACATACTGAATTCCTTGCAAAATGCATTCTCTCTTCAGTGTCATTAATTTTGTTGTCTCGTGCTCTGTTAGTGTGGCTATTGTATTTCAGACAATAATTAGTAATAGAATACTATAGAAAATATGTATTAGAATATATGCTAGTATGGATAACTTATTCATCTAGCATCTTAAAATTAAACTTTTAAAAAAAAAAGGTTCGTTCACAAACTGCTGAATAAAACAATTAAACCTAAACAACATTTACAGCTCACAGAGATAGACCAGCAGTCTAGTTACATAGGTGTCTGAAAGAAACCTTTTACATCCAACAGCGTCTGGAACTTAACTGGATGTGAGAATCTGAATTCGTATATCTCCAATAATTTCACTTAACAGGGAGCTACGCAACACTTATTGACAAGAGAAATTAATCTGGTTGTCAAGTACTTTGAATTTCTCTTTCTTAAATATTTATTTCCAAACTTCAGGCTGAAGATGTACTGTGCGTTGGAAAATCAGGTCATTAAGATCACATCATCAATTTATTATGCATCCGTAACTATGATTTACAGATTAGTCATTAACTATGATTTATAGGTTTTCTGTAAAAATGTCAATAATCAGTGCATAAAATGAAAAGGGAAAAAATATTTTAATTAATTTAAACCATAATTGAATCACATAATGGCAAACGTGTATTAAATTTAAACTTCTTGTGCTATATTTTGTCTAAAATGCTTTATATTTTAATAATACTGATTTTCACAACAGTTTATTAGGAAACTTTAAAAATTATTCATTCAGAAAATAATTTTATTTATTCATTTTGTTTAGGTGCTATAATTGTGGAGAATTTGCCAACCACATCGCAGCGAAATGCACGATGGGACCACAGCCAAAACGTTGCCATCACTGCAAATCTGTAGACCATTTAATTGCAGATTGTCCGGCAAAGGAAGAGGGGAAAAAGAAAACGCCTTCCGATCCGTCATCCAACAAGTGCAGCAATAATAATGACAACTGTTGTGACAACAAAAACAACGGTGACTTGGTGGAGGAATCTATACACCATACGATTTGCCTTGGGAAAGGTAACTCTTTTAAAACGCTTCTGGACAACGAGGAAGAGGACGACGAAGACGTACAGCTTCATGATCATAGAATCAACTGTTCTTCCTCGCCAGCATCATCTTGCGGTACAGGATCTTCTTTTGAAAAAAGAGATCTCTAGCGTGAATCATTACGCTGCTCAACTTCAGCCGCTATTTGCTACCATCACAAGACCATGTTTTTTCCACCAAAGATTTTAGTCAACGTCTGACATTAGTTACAAGGGAATGAAGTAAATGGAGGAAAATCTGACAATGGATAAAAGCTAACATCCCATGTGAAACAGTCATTGGCTATCAAATATTCAGCTTTTACACTGGGAATCTTTTAAAATGGATTACTAAAGTTTGAGCAACAGCAAAAGCTCCGTTTGTGTAAAAAGTTGAAAAATATGTGAATGTTTTAAAATTAATGAGAAATCTACAAAGTAGATTGAAAAAACTGAAACTAAGATTTATTTTCAGATTGTTCATATTTAAACTACCATCTCTCAGTGCACTACACTAAACTCAAGTTAGTTAAGATTATATTTCTCTTCAGCGTTCTTTCATCAGGATATGATACCCTTTTCCCATGTGCCCTTCGGCAAAAGTACTCATTGAATTAATAGAAACAAACTAAAAGTAGAATTTGCATTTTTTTTAATTCTGTAACATAAAATGCAGAGTAAAAGAAGTTATTTTAAATGAAAACTGCAATGTTTCATGTCATAAAATATATTTAAAATTGTATTTCTCATTTTAAACCAGATAATTTTCCTATCAGCATTTTAATCCTTTATTCATGTCTATTATAAACAAAGCTTAAATTATTTATATTGCCAAATTGTTAAATAATATTAAATAGTAATTTTCTATACTTTAGTTAAAATCCTCTTTACTGCTGTTGACGAAAATCTATTGCAGTAAGAAATTTTTAACAATCTGTCTCAAATTTAAGTAAACCACATCTCTGAATAAAAAGTGGGTCACCGAAAGCAGATTAAGAGTAGGCTAAGTAAAACAGGTAATAAAAGAAAACTATGCTTTTGGTGCAGATGAAGTTTTTCATAATTGAAAAGTATTCATTATGATCTGATGGCAGGAATCTACTATGCCATAAGACTTAGGCACAAGTTTATCATCGCGGATGACGTCTTTTATAAGCATCCAATATAATCTGAAGGCATGGATTTAATTTTAATATGCCATCAAACTTGAACAAAAGCTTACAATGTATACCTACGTAACCTAAAATCTTCTCAATTAGGATACTTCACAACTGCGATACATCTTCCTTCGGGTCACAGAAAAGTAGGATAACTGGCGAGAAACGGAGTTGTATAATAAAATAAGTCAATAAATAAGTCACTTCGTGGTCAACTACTTGACATTATTTAATAATTTTAAATACATGAAGCATATGCTGACTTCAAAATCTAATCACAATGAAACAAAAGAATTTCATTCAAAATTAAAAAAACTTTGAAAGGTATTAAACTAAATATATTTTACATTTGCATAAAGGTTATTTAATAAATTTGGCTTAGGATCTTTTGAACGCTTTAGTGTAGCTTTTTATTCGTTATCTCTGCACGTTTCATTATATTTGTATGGAAAATGACCACATTCTTAACAAAAAAATAACAAAAACTTTCTCTGGCTTTTCTTCTGAAATATATTTTTTTTTTTCATTTCTTCATCCTGCCGAATTTCTTTTGGTATTTTGTTTTAACATCAATGTCATATTATCATTTTCTTGTAACTAATGGTGCTGATATGTGAATCGTTTTCTTTTGAAAAACTGCGCCCACAGGTGAACTATTTTATCATTTAAGTGATTCAACTTATTTTTTCTCTATTTTAATTTTGTTATTTACTTAAGAAGTATACCGGTGCTAATAAGTTATTTTAAAGAGTTCTCTTTCTAAGCGATAAGAGAACTCAGTCTGTGAATAAAATTTTGCTTGAATTTCGTATATAGCTCTTATTCGTTTATTCCGCAAATTGCTAATATTAAGCTTCAGTCAGTCAATAGTTAATAAATAAAGATGTTGAAAATATAATAGCTTTTTAGCTAATATTTTAAAGAATTAAATGTTTTACGAGCTCCTTTTCATTACGTTTTATTGCAAAAAGTGTTTCATACAATAAGATATAACAAAAACAATACTCATCATATCTCAGTTCCATTTCACGTTGGAGAGAACAAAAATCATTAAAATTACGGATATATTACGTGTGATAGAAATGAGTGATATAGAAGCAATATTGATAAATGTAATTAATTGAGTGAGACTACATCATTTACATTCTTGTTTATTTGCAGTAATCTGTTTATTTCATTTTTTGCAATACAAAGCATGTGCGGGTTTTATTATTTGCTGCTATCAGATGTGGAAATGTAAAGAAGGATATTCGTTATTACTTCTATAGATGCACTCTCCAGAAAAGTTAAAAAAGGCTGCCTCATAAGAGGCATCTTTTCATTGAGGGAAAAAAATAAAATTAAGTTTATAATGGCCTTGGTCTCTATCTCAGTTACTTGCGCACGCTAAGTAACTCCTCACTTTGCATAGAGACACCCTTAATGAAGTTATATATCCCATTTTTTTAAATGGCATCTTAATTTTGAAAAAAGGTTTGATTTGACGTAAAATCTTTTTGCAGTAAGCGAGACTGTATTCATAAACTGAGATATAAACTATAATGTTTTATTTGAAAAATCATGGTAGCAAATTATTTTTTGTTTTAAAATTTGTACAATAATGTATTACAAAAATAATGGCCAAATTAAATACGATAGAAGAATATCTCCATTTAGCCTCAAAATTTCTTTTTCGAACAACAAAGTTCATTAGCTACAATTATCTAGAATATACAAACTGGGGAAACTAGTCAGAAATACCAAAGAATTTGTAATGATTGATAAACTACAAATTTTACTTCTGAAAAAGATATAAGTACGTAAGTACGTGCTCTCAAAAGAATTCGAAAAAATACTTAGTCTAATTTTCTTCTACAAACTTCTGCAAATAGGTAATCAAAATGAATAAACTCGGTTCCTGTGCTTTGAAAACGGGTGAGTGAAATAATGTTGCAGTGCTTTTAGAGGATGCGTGAAATTACAGAAGCTGCATTTTTCAGCTAAGAACTTGAGAAAAACTCTTTTAACTGGCTATAATGTTGCCTCGCAATGCTGGTTCGAGGTTGGCATGAAAAATGTGTGTTGTTGCAGCTCTTGTAAATATTTAAAGGTATCAGTGGAGTGCTGCTTTAGTGTTTATAACAAATGAGAAAAAAAATTATACACCAGTTGTGTTAATATTTAAAAATGTGCAGATACATGTATGAAATAAAAATTAATAAATCTCTCTCAATTTTACGTGAACGTTGTGTCTTTACTGAATTTAATTATTTATACACAAACATGAAATTATTCTAAATAAAGAAGTTTAGAATTTTCATTTTAACGAATTTTTGAAGTCTGTTCTTTATGCAGTTTGTGTCGCCAACTTGTTTAAAATTTTTCATACGACTTCACATCCACTCTGAAAAATATCTTGAATTGGGAAGAAATTTAACCTAGTAATACAGCATGTTACTTTTATAATTTTTATGGTCAGAAATAAATGCATGGTCTAATCTACTATGCTGTTATCTTAAATTAAAAATTTTAATATTACTGACATAATATCAAATCTATTGAGTTATTCCATAAATAATGGGATTCTTAATACTTTTTTTTTTATTTTTCAAAATTAAGATCAACAAAGTTTGTTTTATTTCCAGAATATACTCTCCTTCGTCCTCTTCTGGTTCGTAAAAGTTACAATGGGATTTTATTCCAGCAGGGTGTAACGTCACCGAGCTTCCGGGATGATAATAACTGGACAAGTTGTTATTTTAGATTTATTTGAAAACTTAATTAGGCTTTCTTAGTTAATAAAAAAGTAACATTATAGCATTGTTATAGAAAGGGAAAGACAACAGTCTTCCTGTCTGCACTCGAACGCGTCTCTCATTGTCTTGGCATTTCACAGATAAAAGCCACCTTTTTACTCTTAGAAGACGAGTCAATGGATACACTGCCAAAGGGGGGTGTCCTTAATTTCTCTTAATAAATTTCACCGGCTCCACGGTGGATACTGAAGTTCATTCACAAGACAACAAGAAGATAAATAGCAATTTGTTTTCTATTTTGTCAAGTTTTTTTTTTTTTGGAGAACTTTGACCATCTTTAATCGTCTAACGCCGCTAGGTCAAAAAGTGGTTTTAAATCATCACTTTCTCTTTGCAAGTGAGACAGCCGAGTCTTGTCTACTGAAAGAGGTAGCTAATTCACCTCTGCATCGGGCAGAAATAATGGTGTGCCTCTCGATTCTTCTTTAGGAGAATCAGCTTTGCTTCCTGGAAGCAGAGTTCCTGGCGAATGTGTCTTATTAGCGGGAGCGAAATTTCCTCGGTGGCTATGCACTTATCGTCTTCACCCATTTCTTTGTATTTTTGCGCGTTTTCAGCTTCGGTATTGACAGTTTCGCAGTATCTTTGATACTGACCCCTGTACATCGGTTCTTGACAAAAAACTCACTTTGATTTTCTGCTAATTTTTCAACAGTCCGGTTCCCAAGTAAATAGCGTCCGGTGTACAGATTTTTTCTGACAACTGCGGCTAGCAGCTTCAGTTTGGCTATTTCGAATTCTCTTTCTTCTCTCTTAATTCTATCTTGACTCTCTTCTTCTCTTCTAGTTCTAGCCTGCCACTCTTCTCTTTTTGTCCTGATTCTATAATACCTCGCTTCCTCTTCTCTTTGAATTCTATCCTGTTCGTCTCTTTCCCTCTCAAAGCTCGTTGAAATGATATTTTATTACACAGTTTTCACGGGTTTCTCCTCGTAGGCTTCATTTCTTATAATCCTCTGCCTTAGATTAATGATTCTAAACTCAGGTCAGATCTTTTCCCTTAACTCTTCAGCCAAGGTTTTTTTCTAACTTTTGCTAAGAATACCATAATATAACCATAATTTATGATCAAAATCTAATTACTCTCTATCTTCCTCTCTCTATATTTATTTTGAACCAAATAGTAATTTCAACTATGTGGAAGCTTTAAGGGAACTTTAACCCTTAATTTTTTTCACAACAAACACAACTGATCTAAAACAATTTACTATATAATATGTACACTGCTCCAAAAAAAAGGGGGGGGAAGTGCTATATCTTCCGTTCTACTGGGCCGATTGACAAAATTCAAACTGCGCTTTTGCATGTCTCGCAGTTGCTATGTCTCGAAAGCGAGACTTAGGATATATATTAAATTTATGTATAGCACTATTCTAACATAGGTATTTTGACACAAAATCGGACTTTTTCTGAAATAACATACCAATTGTTTTGCATATTTCGATTCTACGACTCAAATTATGCCAGAATACCAAGTTTTATAAAAATCGTACGAGTCGTTTTTAAAATATTAGCTCTCAAAATTTTAGCTCCTCAATGCTAATTGAATTTGGCATATGCTTATTAATATCTTTTTTTTTTTATTAAACTTTTCTGATTTTTTCCTTTCACATTTCGAAATTTAGGTTCATTCCAAATAAAATTCACCCATTTTTTGTGTTTTATTTTTTTAATTTCTATTTTTAAATAATTTTTATAAATTTTTCGAAAAACATTTTGAATTATAACCTAAAACATTTTTACCATCATCTTAAAGTAGGTGTGTTTCTAAGCATACCTGCAAAAAATTAGACTTTTTTATTCAAATTTTACTAAGATATACACGAATTTACATAATTTCGCGTTTTGAAATTTGGCATATTTTTTTGAGCGATAATAACGCCAAATGTGGTTTATAGATTTTTGTTACAGTGAATTGCCACAGCTATTTTTAACCTTAAATTTCAAGTAAAATTTTACGGAGAATTAATCATATGAAATTTTTCCCCTCAATGATGCGTAATAAATATTTATTAATACTATACGAAAAGCTATTTTTTAAATTATAGATGATATTATTCAAATTTTTAACTATTTTTTTTTAATTTCTCTCTTTCTTCCTTTTTTTTAAAGAATTATTTGTAAGAGTAAATTTTTATCTTCGGCGTTTTATCGTCTGCTACTTTACTTTAACTTCGTTTAAATCGAATTGTCTAAAACTGAGAACTTTCGTTTGGTGTTTATTTAAATTTTACGAAAATATTTTATGACATTAACTACTGCATAATTTATTTCTAAACAAGCTGTTGCTTATGAAGTGGCTGAAAGAGCGGCTGATACTATCATCCATATTTTTAAAGCACAGTATATTTTTATAGAAACATAAGATTTAGAATAATCATTTTTACAAAAGTCAAATTATGATATAAACATACAACCCTGTACAGACCGTATTAATGGAAGTTCAATGGTTATGTAGAAATGATCTGCAGCTACTTAATGGCTGGATAAGTCAGCAGGTTCTGTGGACAAGTAAGAATAATTATATAAACGACACCCAAATTCTGGATTCAATTAACGACGAGGGTACGATGTTTATTAAATGAATTTAAGAAGTTTTGAAACATAAAAAATCCACTCATTTTTTATCCTAAAATGTATTTTTATGCTTTGCGTATTTTCATTATATCCTTAAAATTCTAATTTAGAATTTAATTGTCAAGAATTGAATTCTAATCATCAGTAATATAATAAGTAATTATTACGGTTATTAATAAATCCTTCTTATAAAGTAATTGCAAATATTTCAAAAAACTTTCTGTCAGAATGCAAATGTTTCTAATTTTATATTAATCAAGACTGCACACGATATTATTTATTTGCACTTCAATTCTTACCGTCAGCACTAGTAGGAGTTACAAATCAATTATATTTAATTAAGGAATGGCCATCTAAGTTTAGAAACAGCGTTGTATCGTAACAGCAATTCAATTATTGGCGCCGTATCTTTCATGTTTCATGTTACTCATGTTACGATTGGCAAGCTATATGATTTTTAATGAGTATTCGGGTTTTGCTAGTAACTTCACTTGGAAATCGCGCTTAAACTAGGTTAGTTCGGTTATTTGAACATAGAAAGAACATGGAGCTATTTGGTTAAGATGCTTTCATAGAGAACCTTTGTAAAGAGAACCTAAAAAACTACGAAAACCAACCATGCAGCCTTAGTTAGACTTCGCAACAAACAATTAGTATTTAACAATCTTTAAATGCTAGGCAACTGGTGAGGCTCCAATTAAATCTCCAATTTAATATTTTATTTGTAAATATTTAAAATATTGTTGTATTCTTAGACACAAAAGCAGAATTTAAGTTTTGTTAACTCGTTAGTAAACTACCAAGCCTTAGTGCTGCAATAATTGTATTCTCGTGGTATTCTTGGAATATGAGCTAAAGAAGGAATGTTCTCGGAAGATTAAAGAAGTGTTTAAATCCAGTGATATTAGGCTTGTCTTACAAGCTCAAAATCAAAACGATTTTGCAATTGCCCGAGTAGTTGACTTGTAAATGGCTGTGTATTAAGCACATGACTTTTAATCTTACGTTATTCAGTCAGAAAACGTATTCCAAATGTTTTATATTGCATGACAATGCATCTTTTCATTATTCAATAACCAATCGGAGAACCTCTTGTATTCGGAAATAAGTATGTGTACTCAATCATCCTGCATGTTCTTCAAATTTGTCTTCTTGTGATTTTTTTTCTTTCCCAAAAACTAAAGTTGCCTCTCAAAGAAAAGTGTTTTGACATTGAAGTGTCAAAAGGAGTATGACATCTACTTTTAGAGACATGTCAAAAACAGATCTCTACAAGCCTTCTCTTCCATTACATGTTGTGCATTCAGACAAAATGTTGGACCAGCGTAAATTCTATAATATATTTTTATTACACTCTGATTACTTTATTAACATACAGTGAATATATACTAAACCTTTTACTTCAGCTTCAGTAATTCGGAATTTTTGACGTAATTGTCGTCGGAACCAGGATAAGTCAAATTGAATATTTCGCTAATCCAATAAATTCTTCAAGGTCGAAGTTTCAATATTTTATTTTCGGAGGGAGGGGAAATTTTTTCAGTGTTGGTCCATTATCCTATTTGCTTCGACTCTTTATTTTTTCCATAAAAGCGAAAATCTTACGCATGGTATACATATAGCGCATAGCTTCAAATTAAAATTTAATAATAATATACAGGGTGGTTATAATTAAAGTTTCACTTTGAAACGGCCATAAAAGGAAAACTACTGGATCAAATGTTATCAAACTTTGTAACCGTGTAAAGGAGGCCATGCGAATTTATTTTCCGTGAAAAAAAGAAAGTTCGGAACCTCACCACCAGGGGGAAAATGGCGCTATATGCAATATTGTTAAAGGAAATATGGGTC